TATATATATATATATATATATATATATATATATATGTATATATTTTGTTAGGTTAATATTATTATTTTATAAAAAACACCATTAGTTGATAAATGCAGAGAAATTAAGTTTAAAAGAAATTAAGCACGAAACCAAACAAGAAGAAAAGGATATGAAGAATATTTTCGTTTTTATTATAAGAAATTAATGTTAAGTTAATTTCATTGTTTTTTTTTTTTTTTTTTTTTTTTATAAAGAAAATTTTAAGCATAGTTTTCAATGACAATTTTTTTAACAACAACAAATGCGATATTTTATTTATTTTTTTTTTTTTGTTTTTTTAGTTAGGTTAAAAAAGAAAAGAAAAATTGAAACAGAGATTAAGAAAATTGGTTAAAAGATTATAAGCTGTTTTTTTAACCGGGTTCGAAAAACTACTACTGCACTAAAGAAGAAAACGTTTCATTTTACAAAACTACTAATGAGAGGAATTGAAAAAATTAAAAAAAAAAAAAAAAACTTAATAGTAACTAATGGCAAAAAGAAAGAAAGAGGCATGGAACTTAGATAGGTAAACAATTATGTTAGTCATGCACAACAACTAATCGGCCGTATCCTGCATTTGCTCATTTCGTTTTTTTTTTTTTTTTTTTTTTTTTATTGTGATCAATCTTAGGGGATGACCCCTATTCGAATAACGCGATGATTGTAGGAAAGAAATAGAGAGGTGGAGATAAGTGTTATGCCTTTCCCGGTTGATCGCTCACTATAGCTATGACGAAAAAAAATCTACCGCAGTTGAGATTTGAATCCGTGAGCACAGACTTGGCAGCCGCAGTTCTTATCTACTCGAATCGAATTGATAAGACCTTCAAATCACAGAGTTCCTTCGGGGGATTTTTACACACACACACAACAAGGATTATTCGCCATCCTTTTCTTGTTTGTTGGATTTTAACAAATAAAGCAAGACTTTCTACAAAATTTTCCAGAGCGAAAAGATGCAAAATTTCATCTTTTTGAACTCGAAGCAGACTTGAATTCAAATCATAGGACTGGTATAATTACTTAACCATCCCGATATCGCTAATATTGTTCAAAAAAGTATTTCAATTAATTTTGAAAATATTTCACAAACCAAACCCTTCGTCTACAAGTCAACTCTCTCTTTCTCTCTCTCTCTCTCTCTCTCTATCTATCTGTCTACCTATCTTGTATCTCTCTACCTACCTACCTATCTAGCTACTTATCTCTCTCGCTCTGTGTCTCCCTCTCTCTCTCTGTCTATCGCATTGTTGTATGTAAGAGTGGCAGTACATGGCATGAATCAAGTTTGCTTACTATTCTCAATATTTCAATGTTGCTCCGCTTAATAGAAGAGATTTTATTGTTCTTTCCAGCTTTCAGTTAATAACGCGGCCATAATAGACTTCGATTTACCGCATAATTAAGCGAAAGCCACAACTGCCTTTGTTATCCGTTGTGCGTGGCTCACGAATTGTCAAAATGTAGGTGAATATATAGCTTGCGTTGCGTTCGCAAATTTTTGAAAAACTTTTAAAAATTTCTCCATGCATTGTTCATTGTTGACAGACAAAACAGTGTTGTATTTATTTATGAAAACAAAACAAAATCATATGATTTTGGTTTTAAGCCTCGAAAGATTTATTCGAAATTTATATTTGTAAAATGCCTTTGCGAGAATAGCTCGAATTGAACTAAAAATACATACATGCTTGAGATTTTCTAAATTTGTTAAATGAGCAGATACGTGGTTATGGGTTGGCCAGATTGGAATCACGCGATTACAAACGATGATCGGTAATTGATAGGTTCTACGTATTTTCATTGTTGATGACCATCCTTAAGCAGTTTTATTTAGTCCTGATTATTATAATGATGTCCATTTAGTTTGGGGATCTACAAACAATTGTTACACCCTACATCATATGTAGTACAGAGTAGATTAACTTTATGCGTACGAACGCAATATCCAGAAGGACTTAGAAAAGATGCATTTTTATATGATACATCATTTGTGATACAAGGGTATATTAGGTTGGTGCGGGTGTTTGCAGTACCAAGAAGGCCTTGAGATAGAACCACTTTCTGAATCGAGTTGAGTTTATATGTCTGGCTTAGTTTCTTACGTTCGACCTACAAACAAATCAAGTTTTGAGACATTTTGACGAATCTTGATGCACTGACATTTTCTCGATCACTTCCCATATAGCATCTTAACTTGCAGTCATTATATAAGTAACATTAGTATAATGCAGGGTATTTAAGTGTGCACCGTGATTATACCGAACGATTCACAATCGCTACCGTACAACAACCATACAGCATTTGCAGGACAGGAGCGTGTTGAGCTTAGAGGATGTATACAATACACAGCAGAACTTGAGATATACCCACATTTTATTATACTGATCTTGTGACTCAGTCCTTTCGTCGCGCATTATGTTCAATCTTCGGGTCAAACTTTTTGAAATATTTTCATGAAATTTGGTACACCGGCTTGTGGACAAAATTCTAAGGACAAGATTCGGATCGGATCACTTCTACCCACACAACACCTTATTTTCGAAAGTCTTTATGTGAGTAACTGGACTAAGCGAAATGGACCGCAGCCTACTTTGATGTTTTTACTTGTTTTCTAAGTTTTGCCTGCGTTATGTCTGTCCTCGCGTTATGTTATCCTACCTACAGGTCATAATTTTGGAGATATTGAGAAGAAATGTGTTACACTGACACGGTTTTAAAGCGCGGTCAAACGCTACTGAAGATCACTTTAACGATCACTCCCCTCATATAAGAATTTGGCTCTAAACAAGTTGTGATGTAAAAAAAATTTTTTAATTTTCAGAATTTCTCGCCAAAAATCATTAATTAACAGTATTTCGGTTCAGTACATTGACATAAAAAACTCGAACTTGAAGAGCAAATTTTTCCCTTCTCTCAGACAACAAAACACATAACGTCCTATAAAATAAACCAACAAAATGGTTCTGTGGTGGGGGAAAATTAGTTCATAATAACTTGATATAATAATTAAGTATGGGAAGGTAGGAATACGTGGGTGTATTTTCCAATTTTAACTTATGTAGGGGTCCAAAAGAAAAGTAAACCCTTACTTGGAAATAAGATGTAGTAGTTGATATATTACCAGTGGTGTAGGGTAATGATATTTTTTTTTGTTTTTTTAGATTGATTCCTTATTTAAATTGAATCAATAAAGTCAGTTTCATCGACATCCATGAATTGAAAGCATAAGAAAGTGAAATATCAGTCTTCTCCGGTAATTCCTTAACTTAAAGTACATCGCGTGAAATTACCACTAAATAATTTTATGAATTATGATAAAATATAAATTGGTAAAAGTTACGAATATTCGACTATGGGAACAAAAAAGTGAACTTCTAAGTCATTGTTAACGGTTTCATGACGGTTGTGAAGCGGTTAGCATTACATTCATAGTATGTGATATATGCTACACCCTTGTACGGAATATATTTGAAATTTTAAATTTTTTACTTTTTTATTTTCAAGTCATTTGTAAGGGATTTGGGAGAAAACAAACAGATATGGGCATGCTCTCGTTTATATTCAAACCAGAACAACAACAACAACAACAACAATAACAATAACAGCAGCAGGGAAATAATAAACTAAACTCAAGCAGTGTTAAACTATTAATATTGCTAATGGTTTTCGATGTTAATATGACTTATAATGTGTGCGTTACTTGAATTTCCAATAAAATGTTAAAAACAGATAGTCAAACATAGAACATAATATCAAAAGCTAACAGTATGGGAGAGAAATAAGTAAAAAATGGACCAACTTACAGCCTTCATGATGCTTTTATCCCAGGCGACACATGATTCCAGAACGTAAAGTGCCATAGCAAGCTGGGCAGTGGTATGAGATCTTGAGACAGCGTCGCGCCATGACATTAAACCTTTTGGTATATTCTCCACCTTTTCATCTTTATCACTATCACAATTGCTGGCAGGCGAATTTCCATTGGAATTGTTTTCCGTATTGCTGGTGTTGTTGTTATTCGAAGAGGCTCCTGCAGGATCTACAGTCGCATTTGCGGCTGCTGCTGCCAAAGCCATGGCCCGTTCATTAAACGCGGAAGGATTGAAAGCATTTTGATTTTGTGTTAAACTTTGCAATTGTTGTTGTTGCTGATGATTGGCAGCAGCCGCAGCTGCAGCTTGTTGCTGCTGCTGTTGTTGTTGTTGCTGCTGTTGTTGCTGTTGTTGTTGCATTTGTTGATAGTAAGCAGCTGCGGCTGCTGAATTCTGAGTCTGACTGTTTTGTTGATTTTGTGCAATGGCCGCTAAATGAACATCGCCAGTTTGAGCTCCTAACGGTGGCTTCAAGTAACGTCTTTCTATATTCGCTTCCAAATCGATAATACGTTCTCTAATCATGGGTATAATACTGACAAAATCCTCTTCAGTGATGTCAGCATCACTTTCCAAATTTAGCTCACTTTCAATTCGTGGAGGTAGTTGCCAATTTTTTAATTGCATGGAAGCGCTGGCAATTTTATCCTCTAGTGCTTCTAACTGCTCTAATAAAGCCATCTCTACCCGTTTAGCTATTTTTGGGCTCCAATCGTACGATCTATCAGGAAGAATAAATTCTTTTGCTTCAGCTTTAGCTTCACCGATAGAATAGGCCAAACCCAATGGGATTTCTTGACTAAGGAAACGTGTTAAGTTTTCTCTTAATTCCCGTTCACGTAAGCCAGTGGGATTTAAGGAATCTATTACATGCTGTAAAAGTTCCATAGTGTCCACTTTCCACCAACCATAACGCAATTTGTATGGCACAAAGTTGCCGCTCAGCTTGTTAGGAAACCCCTCGCGTTTTATCCGTTCTAGCTGGCGATTCTCTTCCATTGTCATGTTCAGAGGTGTCTGAACATCGTATTGTATAAAATTACTAATATTAGCCAAAGACATTTGTGCCATATTTTGAAGTGATATACACAGTGCTTCGTCCAATTTAATTTCTGACTTAGCTTTGAGGTCAGACACTCCCATTCCACCACCGCCGCCACTATCCATTAGTGTATCATTAAGAAAGGGAAAAAATTTCTTGTCCTCTGGATGTTCGTTTTTTAATATAACACTATCATTAAACAAATGCTCCTCGTCATCACATTCCATATCCGTCTCAGTTTCACTTTTCAGGCGATGTTGACGAGGAGACTCTAAACCGTTTTTTGAAGCTTGCAGTTTTATCTCAAAGTCGCGCAATTTCTTTTCTACCTCCTGTTCATCTAAACCCGATAAAGATAAAACGCACTCCGAACTGAGTTTACTAAAATCTGCTTTGCAGTCTTCCATGGTCACTGTAAAGTATTGAACATTATTGGCCAAGTCCCAAGGATGGCCTTGAATTTGGCAGTTACTACTACAGGTAATGTTGGCATAAGAACGCTGAAAATCGGCCATAATTGCGTCACATTGAGGTTCCGTTGTAGTTAATGGCACTTCACGATTGACTATAGAAAACCATTTTTCGCTAAAGTCCTGGAATGTAGTTATTGGAGGTTTTAATTCAATGGCTGTAGCACTCATACAAGCTGGAGCTGGAGTTGTCGAGACTATAATGCAATCATCTTCTTTTTTTAGATCCTCCACGCTGATAGAGGCTTGATTGATAGCTATGATCTTATCGAGTTTATTATTATCACAGTTTAGCAATTTATTATTAGGATTATTATTGATATTGACGATATTTGCCGGTACCGCTACTGAGGGCATAATAGGTATTTTAATATCCGTTTCAAAGTCTTCTTTTTTCGGAGGAGGTGGCAGCAGACCGGCAGCGTCGGGTTTATCTACTTTAGCGGCGCCATTATTGTCGAGTTGTATAGCTTGCGGTTGTATGGCCACATCGTAATCATCATCGTCGTCATCGCGTAAATCCACTATTTCAGGTTCAACTCGATTCGTTTCTACCACATCATCATCGCTGTCATCGGCGCCATCGTTATTAGGTATACCAATGCCCTTTAGAAGTACCGGATTATTGGCAGTCCCACTTATGTCATTAACATTTTTATTCAAAGCGTCTACCTGCTGCTTCTCTATTATTGGAATCGTTCGCATTTCAACGTCCTCCTCGCCCTGTTCTTGTGTGTGGAATGCTCTTGAATCAACATTAATATTTTCTTTAATACTTTCCGGACCATCCTGTTCCTTCGTCACTTGGGACTTAGCGTCACGCATTTTACATTCCTCCGTCTCTTTCTCCAGTATCTCGTGGTAGTGGAATATATCATTTTGGGCCGATTCCAACGCTTCTATAAAAATACCACCTGCTTTTGGTAAACGCCAGTAACGTCTCCAGAATCGATCTTGACCAAAGCACGTGGCTCTCAACTGATTAGTACTCTTTTCTAGAACTTCTTTGCAATTCAAAGAGGCCCGAATAATTTTATCGAGTTTCTTTTGCAATTCATCAGCGCTTAATTTATTGTCTTCATCCTCTTCCACATTGGTAATCTCCGATTCTATGTCGCTGATATCTTCGTCCATGCCCACATCTGTAGAGGCATCATCTGGAATATTCGTTGGGCGTGATGTGCTGCTGCTTTTCTTAGTATTTAATAAAGCATTAAAATCACCAGCGCCTGGGCCACCATTGTGATGATAAGTACTGGTAGCAGAAGTTGATGTGGTGGTTAATTCGTCCAATTTAACTAATTGCTTACATGCACTTTCCGTTGGTAAAGAGCTCGTCAATTTTCCATCTTCTAAAATGGGCAGATTAGGTAGATCTTTATCTTTGTCACTATATTTCTGCGGAGAGTCGCTATCGATTTGCATAGATTCCTGATCTTTGAGACCGCTGTTATTATTCTGTTCGCTATTACCAATATCAGTTGGCAAACCCCCATCCACTATTTCCGCGCTTATCATAACACCTTTATTAGCCGTTTCCGTTAAAATGTTTTCCTTTTCTAAACGTTCGGCGTCTAATTTTTGTTGAGCTGCTGCTGCCGCCTGCATTGCAGCCTCGCGTTCAGCTTGCAATTTCTCATAAGCTTCTATGCGCGATTTACGCATATGCAGTGCTTTGTATTTTCGTACCTTCATGTCAGTCATGTATTTCTCTTTGCGCATTTGAGCGCAAGTTTCTAAGCTATTATCAATTTGCTTTAGAACCGCTTTATTCATTAGCAAATCATTGCAAAGGTGAGCCAAAATCTGTGCCTTTCTAGTAGGGTTCAATGCCACGAAGGGCCGATCTTTTAACGATTGTGACAATTTCCATGTGTCGTTTTCATGCAAAAGTTTATAATATTCGGCATTCTTTCCGGAATGTGTTACAGAGTCCGCATCAATCTGATGATGATCGGGTATGCGGCGCTCCCTTTCTCGATCCATAACCACACCAAACATTTGCCTTATCTCACCGGTGGCAGTGGCATACAAATAAATACGCAATATCTCCGATACGTTCGAATTAGTTATATCGGCATTGCGTAACGATTGTCCAAGCAATGTTGTATGGCGACCCGGATTTGGAACGCCCGGATCCTCTATGGCACAGACCAACAAATGAGTCATCACAGATAACAATTCTTCCTCGGCTTCGACATTGCTATCGCTAACCAAGGCATCATGGAGATTTTGTAGCGTTGGTAAAGATTCCATATCTAAAATGAAAATACATGAGAATAGAAAATTTAAAAAAAAAAACTTAAAATATAAGCAAAAGAAAAGTAATTCGTTGAAACACTGGTGAATATATAACTATATATAGCTATAACACAAACAACAAGTAAAACTTATAATCTTCCAGTGTCAACTTTTTATAATCACTTATCTATATATAGTTATATATATACACTAACAACAAAATAGCAAATATTTGTAAAGCGACGACAAGATGCGATAAAGTAAATGGGTTTTTGACAGTGAAATCGATCTTTCTGTCTGTCGGTCCCTTTGTTGAAATTATCATCATAAGTCTTGATGTGAAATTTTTTTTTAAAGTCTGAAAATCGGTGGATCGATAGTTTGCACCATAGCAAAATATGGCTTAAATGCATTTAAATTAGCGCACTTTTCACTTGATGCAATTTGAAATGGAAAGGTATATTATTATTATAATTAATTTAGCCAGAGCTCCAAAAACTTTTGCGCACTTGACATTTGAACCCACTACCATCGAGTTCTATTAGTTGAGATTTTTTACCTTACGGGTAATTGAATATATTGATCTTTTCTATTAAACTATTAAAAAAAATATATTCGCCTGGCAAGGAAAGGTGCATCGGAATATGAAAACTGGATAATATCAAACATTGACCAAAGGTACCACAACAAGTGATTTGTAAACAGGGATGTGATAAGTTATCTCAGATTACAAAGCTACTACGTGCACTTTCACCGGAGTAAAAAAGATGCTATTCAATAAAATAGAAGTAGGATCGAGTAGTTTACAGCCGGGAGCATAGTAACATATGAACAACTTACCAAAGCCTAATGTTTCACCGAAATTATGTAAAAATTCAAAGACCATTAACAAATCGGCCATAGCTTGGCCTGGCAATCGATTACCGCCAATACGCTCTAGATCGGGTATTTGTGCATTCTGCCATAGTTCAGAATCCTCTTGGGGTTTTCTGTGAGAGAAGTGAAAGAAAGCAAAAAAAATGTTATATAAAAATTGAAGAAAAAAAAAACTCCCTTTTTTTAATTCCTATTTCATTTTACCTTATCTGGGCTAATATCTCAGCATCCCGTTTACGTGCTGCCAAACGTTTCTCACGCATTATCAAACGATCCAAAACCATCTGATGTTTCTTTTTCTCACGCTCTTCAAATTTACGTCTGAAGTCCAATTGCCTAATTAATGTCATATGTTGACGACGTCGTTCACGTTCCTATATTAAGTGAAGTCAATATATGATTTGAATTCATTTTGCAAGAGCGTATTCAATAAAGTTCAACTCACCATTTCTGCTTGCAAAAGTAATTCCTTCTGACGATTTAATTCCTATAGAAAGGAATAGAAAAGAGAAATTTATTAAATACCTTTAAATTAAAGAATATCGTTAACGATATCGTGTTGAAGGTAAAGCCTACCATGGAAGAGATATTGATTTTGTTATTATATTAGCTCGAGTTATAAGTAACTTCCGTTTTTTCTATCCGACATTTATTTTGTTTTCATTGAATAACAAAATTATATTAATTTAACAGTTGATTGTAAGGTATTCAACCTTTTTGCTATATCTCTCTCTCTCCTTAATTGGCATAAAGATTTTACCTAAATATTGCCTTTGAAAAGTGGTCGTCAAAGTCGGAAGGAGCGGAATTTTCCGATCAGTTATCATCAGTCCTTCACCATAAACGCTGCATATTTTTTCACTCGTCGCCTTATCACTATTGCTTTGTTTAAATATTCAAAGCACTATACCGTCGAATATGCAATTTTTGGCTTTATATTTCAGAGGCAAAGAAAAACGGTTGAATGTAACATGGACCACATAAAACAGTTGACAGACGATTAACTGAAACCGCATGTATGTAGGAGGGGGAAAAAAAAGTTTTTTTTTTTTAGGTTTCGGTGACTTCTAATGAGTAAATACGAACAATAGATTCTACCTACTTGCATCGGAAGTTATTTATAATTCAGCTTAATATATAACAATATAATATTGCTGACAACTATTTTAATTAGATATTGATTTTTTTTTTTAAATTTGATAAGATAGAGTTTTAGGAGTATTTTTGAACAAAAGATGTATGCATTAAACGCTAACGCTACGCAAGAACAATATTTTCATATTGAGACTTTATTATATTAGTTAATTTCATCAAGAAGATTTCCGAAGATTTTTTTATTTAATATTTTATAAGATTTTTTTTTGTGTCTCAACCAACCTCCAATGAAGAAGAAAATTGTAATTGCTAATTATAATTGTAAATTAAAACGTAGTTTAATACCTGTTCTTTAGCTAAAATAGCTTCTTGGCGTTTCTTTTCCTTTTCCTAGATAAAACGAAAGTGGACAAAAAAAAAAAAACACAAATTGTTTATATTCGGAAACACGTTTGCACAAGAACGATTTCAAAGCCAAAAAACGGTTAAAAAACTATGAATTAAATGTACATATAATATTCACTAAGCGTTCACGGAGCATTATCCAAATTACCTGTTGCTTCTTAAGTATTTCCTCTTGTTTAATACGTTCCAATTCCTCTTGTCGTTTCTTCCGTGCCTAAAAGAAAAGAACATATGCATACGCGATGATGAAAAACTGTTTCTTTCTTCTCTAAATCAAATTAATTTAATTTACCTCAATTGCTTGTTGATTTTTCAGTTCTTTCTCTTTACGTTGCTGCTCTAATTTCTCGCTTTTCTCTTGCCGAGCTTTCTCCTTATTGCGAGCCATTTCCTCTTTCTGCTGCTTTTTGGCATCGCGTAGAGCTTGCTGTTGTTTGGCAATTTCAATGCGTTGCTCTACATTCAGCGTCTGACGAGTAAACATCTTCAAGTCTTCGAGACGTTTAGCCACATCTTCATCACTCATACGCAAGAAGTCACCATCGTTAGCGTATGGCGGAGGGGCAGGTTGCAGAAATGAACCGACTATAGCACGAGCCGAAAAACTAAAGTTTTCACGCGTCAATTTCGATGGATTTTTTTCCAAATACTAAATACAAAAGAAAATACATGGAAAGAAAATACATAATTTATCGTTAAGATCTTTTACAAAAAAAAAAAAACAATATCTGGCAAATATTGATATAGAAAAATTTCCCAAAATGAACTACTAAAAAATGGTCAACAAACTCACAGAGAAAACTTGTCCAATAGTTTTTAGTGGCACAAGACTGCCTGGAGAATAATATATCACTTCGCCACGTATTTGGCCGGCTTTGGTTAAGCCACGTATTACAGTCTCTCGTTTCCATCCTAAATCTAGAGGTACCCGTAATTCGGTAACATTTAAAAGGTTAACCTCTTCACTTTCTGATTCAGACATGCCACTTTCCGCGGCCACACTTTCCGAATCAGTAGAAACATCCATTTGGGCGTTGGCCTCGTTCAAAGCTTGACGTATTTTCTCCTAAAAGACATGCCATCAAATAATGCAAACACTGGGATGCATCGCTGCAATTACTTACAATATCTGCTCCTTGCTGCAATAATTGCTGTGTAGCCAGCATAGGCTTGATACCAACTGCTCGTGATTGCGCTAGCAGGGAAGCTACTGTATTCTTTTTCGGCTTGGACACTCCCCGACCTAGATTGCGTGGCCTTCCCTCTTTGAAAGGCGGTTGATTGTTACGGTCATTCCCATTATTGGATGATACATTACAAACGGTTGAGCTGCCCCCGTTTCCACCACTTACGCTTCCGGAACCATTGTTACCCAAAGCTGCAGTTATCGAACTTAAACTTTGCAAGCTGTTTGAACTAGACGCACTATGCGCGTTAGCATTGTTGCCGGATAAATCATTGCTATTACTAGACGTAGATGATTTATCAGGTTTCATGGACAAGTTTAAAGGCGTATCAAAATCTTCTATTGTTATAGGCGCTGCCGCATTTGCACTGTTTAAAGTGATGTTGCCTACAGCAATAGTAGCGGCCGGCTTTAAGCTAAGATTTACACCCGCATTTATATCCGTTCCACCAGTTAAATCGTGTACATCTTTATTTTTGTTGGATAAATTATAAGCTCCATTCGAAGTGATGGTGGGCGGCAACTTAATAACTTCTACTCGATCTGAAGACGAATCGCGGCTACTGCGTCCTCCACCGCTAGATGATGTAGTTGTTAAATCAATTTGCGGAGGATTTTGCTGTGAACTGACAGACGTTGAAGAGATACCACCGCCTGCCCCACTTAAAGTACTTGTTAAGGCGGCTACTTGCGAAGCCGTCAAATTAGTGGGTAGACCTGCTGCACCTACGCCAGCCCCTTGCTGAGCAGCATTGGCTGCTGCCGCTATGGCCGCATACTCCATTTCGAGTCTAGCCCGTTTGGCGGGGCTCAGACCTGGAAATGCAAGCAAAGAGGAAAGAGCATTTGTTGTTGAGTCTAGTTCTTGTTTTTGTTGTAGTAGTTGTTGTTGTTCATCTGAAATGGTCTTTTTACGACCACGTGTAGTAGTACCGGGTATTTTGGGGCCCACGATGGATGAGGTATACTTGATGATCTCCGTATCCGGAGGCAAACGTACTCCCAATAACGAAGGATGATCGCTAAGCAAGAAAAATTTTCAAAAATAAGTTTTTCGTTAATTAAATTGACCGCGCACAGCTCACCTCAGTCCTCCTGATGGCATAAAATCTTTAGAAGAAGATTTATTAGTTCCAGAAGCCGAATTAGTGTTTGAGTTACTGCTATTAGCTACCGACGTACTGACTGCAAATGCATTCATGGCCGCCTGCATGCTTTGCTGCGGTGTCATACCCAAAGCTCCAAATTGTGATAAAGAATTCAAGGCATTCAAAGAAGCATTGTTTTTATCTCTTTCTTTGGCTGACAATGATGATGAAGAATTAACGGATGATGATGAACTTCCCGCGCTGGAACTAATACCTAAAGATCCGTGAGGAGACATTAAGGCAGCTACAGCATGTGAAGTATTATTATTGGATGACATGCTACCGCCACCAGCACTATGGTGTGTAGTTACACTACTGGCACCTGAAGTACTTTTGGACTGATTCATTTGAGATTGATGTGATGATGAGGACGTTGAAGATTTTTTTGTTCCAGATGAATTATTGGCGGCAGCCGCTGCCGCAATCAATTCTTTGTGCAACACCACCGGATCGTAGGCCGAACCAGGAGCCGGTGGCAATTGAACTGATATGGAGTTAGATTTACCATAGCTGGAGTTATTACTCTGCTTAATTGGAAAACATTTTGCTTGAACAACTTTTAATACTGGCCTAATTTTTGCAAACCCACCTTATACGAATTAGTCGAGTTGCTGGAACCACCGCCGCTACTATTTCCACTGCCTTGTGAGCTACCCAGACCCGCGGATGGTGTTATAGTCGTACCCGTACCCACCAGACTGTGCATACCAGCTAATGCTGCCGCTGGGTTCGCAGCCGCGGCTGCAGCAGCTGCTGCTGCCGCCGCATTTAAGCTATTAGCTAATGATTGCTGCTGCTGTTGCTGTTGCTGCAATTGTTGTTGTTGTTGTTGCTGTTGGCGTTGTTTTTCTTTGCGCGATTTGCTACTGGATTTACTGCTCGAAGAACTGTTGCTACCACCGCCAGAACCCGAAGCTCCACTCGATCCTGAATTTTGGGAACTGCCGCTGCTCCCGCCAACACTGCTATTACCACCAGCCGAAGCAGCCCCCGTACCACCAGCCCCTAAACCCAAAGCAGCCGGACCAAATGCAGCTGCCAAATCCGGATGAGGAAATGGTGACAATCCGGAGGCCTGCAGTCGTGTAAAATAATCTTGAGCTGCCAGTTGAGCCATTGACCACCAACCTACAAAATTATTATCAAATCAATATTTTCTTTTCTTAAAAAAATGAAAATTCAATGTTAAGAATTGTTCTCGAAAGCGATATTTAAATTGCAGACTTTTAAGTGTACTCTTATCTCTTATAGCCAAATACTTAAGAAATGTATGGTCTAATTATATATATCCGCAATAGTGACGTACCAGTTTTTTTAATATATGTAACTATTCATTGCGATATAGCTTCAGGCAATTTTCAAATAAAACACTCTTGTCATTGTAAGTAAATTACAAAAACTTTTTGAGACATATTCGTTAATTTGGATGCCACCAACATTTGGCAGAAGGTGCATGCCATTCGCGATGTAAAAAATATTCGTCCATACTTTAGGAATCTTGCAAACCAAGGCTTATAGTTTCTATTTTTAAATTTTTGAAATAAGTTCTTATGCTTTGTGTTTACATTTGTAATCCAATACATTATGAGAGAATCAATCTTAAAGTGAAATATAATTCTTCAAATAAGGATTTCTTTAATTTGATTTAGGAGCATTTTCTTCAAACGACACTTTTCGATCAAAGCAAGTGCGTTTGCTGTTAAACTCCCTGTCAGTCAATTGGTATGACATAGGAAACTCGATCCTTTTGCCTCTAAAAAATTCAAAAGCCTTACAAACATTTTAACTTTCGCAGCTAGCCAATGTGAAGTGTATGGTGTATTGTGTATTGTTAATTGTAAACAATTTTAAGTTTCATTTGGTTCAATACATTACTCATTAACTCACTTGCTGGATGCAGACCTGCTAAGCTAGCTGCCTGCGATGCTGCCACTGCCATAGTGTTTTGATGGTGATGACCGGCGGCAGCCGCTGCAGCTGCAGCGGCCATGGAATACCGATCATTAGCGGCTGCCGCTGCCCCAGGATTCGGTAATAGACCTAATCCTGCTGCGGCTGCAGCATTAAACTGTGCATTAAATAAAGGATTAGCAGCGGCAGCCGCTGCGGCTGTCGGATCCCGGCCCCAATAAGCTATAAAAGAAAGAAAATTAGATTTTAATTGTTTAATTACGCAATTATAACAAAAAAAAAAAAACTCACCAAATAATGAGGCTGCATCTAACAGCGATGAAGGATCGTGTACTCCGCCTCCAGCTCCTGCGTTCGAACTGGAGTTTTTTCCACCACCACCGCTGTTCGCCTTACTATCGTTTTGTGCTCCTCCATTTCCCTCACCCGCATTTTTATCCATGTTCTTCATGAATGGATGCCGGCTGGAGGGTCTATTGTTGCGTTTAATTTTGAATGTTTATTTCGACCGGCAAATAGAATAAAATTTCTCGACGCCTTTCTCTATTCCTCTACACTTCTTCTCTAGTGATTATTTGATATTCTGGCCATTTACAGCTTTTCATATCATTTAATTTCCAACATTTCTCATATGGAAAACTGCTACTAAAATTGAACGTTGCAATAAGAAGAAACGCAGAAAGAAAAAAGAAAACAAATCAATTAATAACCATTAACCCAAAATATATTCAAAAAAATTATTATACATTTTAAAATACGTTCGCAACTTAAACTACAACTTTGGGAATGATATAGAAAAAGAAAGAAAAAAAAAAAAAGATGGATCAGAGAAGGAGAGCGACTAAACGGAAAAGATGGAGAGAAGAAATATTTACGCATGTAAAAAGGGAATGCAGAGAAAATGAGAAACAATGTTGTAAACAACATATTATTTATTGAGAAAGAACTTATAAGAGCGAAAATTTACTTTTAAGAGTATTTCTTTCGATTCGTGGACTAAGAGAACTAGTTTTTTTAACACAGAAGATAACAGTCTAAACGTGAACATAAAATCAAAAAAAATCATCCATTAATTGCTTGTTTTTGTTTTAAAGAACTGCACCATCATTTCTGCCCCAATATCATCTATATTGCTGCTATCTTTAATAAAATGCAAAGGGTCAATAAATAATAAAAATTCACCGCGTTACTGGATATGTTGGTCTTATAGTGTCAACAGGCTGAATTTAGTTCAGTTAAGCAAACCAAAAAAAGTTTTTTTTTTTTAGCTGCTTATTGTTTTTTATAAACATATTTGAAAACTAATATAACTATCCTTACCTATGGAAACTGCAAACAAATCTAAAATGTCCTCTGTTGTGAGTTTGAAGAAAATAGTAATGAAATAGTACCAAAGAAGTAGCATTATAATAACAAAAATGTAAACGTTTCTTATTATGAAAACTGCTAATTAAATTAAAAATTTTTAAGAAAAACAATAGGTGGCAAGAGACATTCTATCCTTAAAGTAAAATCATTACGGTTTTTTTAGATGAATGAAGTAGGTCTGGCGACCAATATATCCAGTAACGTGATGCGTTGATTTTTTATGTTCGTGTTTTTTGCTTTTACTGACATGGTTGGTTGGTTATGTTTGCGTCAACGACAACATATACAATCTAAAATCGTAGACATTAACAAGTTTTCTGCCGGTGATGGAAAACTTTGTACAAAACTCGCAATAAAAATTCCATTCTGTATAGAATTGGTTTCCACTCTGATGCTAAATTTACGCCTTATCGATAAAAACAAATAGTCATGTCAATAGTAAACAAAAAACATGTGTTATTACAAACGAAGAAAAAGAGGCGAAGAAAAAATGAAAAAAATTGGAAAAGAACGAAAGTTAGAATAAAATGAAGCGAAAACCGTAGCTTATTTAAAAAAGAATACTTAAATGAAAAGGGCAACAATAAGAAATACTTATATTATTTTATTAAGTGGGTGCTATTTCCTTTTTTTTAAATAAGAATAACCAAAACTAACTTTCTTTGCATCCCTTTTACTTTTTCTGGTTTTACAGTTAAACACGTCATATGTTTTAGGAAAAAGTGAAGTCAAGTTGGAAATATTAATTGTATATAAATTTTATATGATGTTTAACGAATTCTTTCAGTGAGTTCTATATAGAATGCGTAAAAAAGTTATTGGATAGAAAGCTCCCCACTTATAATGAGAACACCCACATTTTTATTTAGATTTTTTAATAAGAAAAACAATATTTTCTTTATTACTGTTTTGTAATGAAAGAAATCATGTGTTTTGTGAAAAAGTGTAGTCAAGTTGGAAATGTTAATTGTATACAAATTTTGTATGGTTTTTATTGAATTATTTAAATGAGTTCCATATAGAGTGGGACGAATAGTTAAAGGAAATAATAATAAATTAACTATCAAGCAAGCATATGATATTTGTAATGTCTGCCGACATACACAATTGCCTTTGCGTTATCTCCGAACGTGGACTTCTATTCGAATTTTATTCAATTTAATATTAAGAAACATTTTATTCGTTCCATTAACAAGGAATTCTAAAACATATTTATATTGTAAGATCATTATGCCTTTGAAAAAGATTATTATATTTTCATCATTCATGAGATCTCATAGCGTGAATGATATAACTAGATCTTCAGCAATTTTCATATAAAATAAGCTTAAGAAAAGAAACATCCCTAGAGCTTTCCTTTTTTTACCTTTTTATTTTTCTTTTGTTTTCTCCTTTAACTGCTTTTCGTTCCCATGTATATATACGGTTAAGACACATATTTTTATTTATTGCTTATTTAAGTAAAGAGAATGCAAAAAACACAAGCTTTTTTAGCTTCGTTATGTTTTCTCTTTAAAAAATTCACTGCTAAATACAAAAAATTTGCTCTAATAGAAGTAATTTTCAAGAGCACCAAAAGCATACACTCACGCATTCATACATAAGCACGCAGGCAAACAATACGGCTCAAATAAGATGGAAACAATAAGCGAAATAAAAATCAAAAACTAAAGAAGTGTAAGCAAAAACCAATCTAAAGTAATACAAAATATATATATGGATGTGCAGACGGCGCATACAAATAAATCCTGACGCTTGCTTTTGTTCAAAGATAGAATGATGAACACAACTTTAATGCTAATGCTGTTCAAGATAATTTAGCTGCTAGTGTGGCCGTGGTTGCAATGGTGGTTGTACAATTTTATCTGAAAATGCGACAGTAGCGCGCATACCCACCTCTGTAATTAAATAACTTTTATATATATATATATATATATATATATATATATTATAGTTAAAGAAGAGGCATTGTATTTGTAGAAAGAGATTTTTGTTGTTTTTCTTTTTGTACATATTTTCATCAATACACATCTGCTAAATTCATTTTCATTTTTTCCGTATATTATGCTTTGAAGTCGGAGAATCAAAGTTTTTATGACGATAAGGATAATAAATAAAATTTCTCCACATTTTCACAAATAATTTTATTAAATTTCATTAAATTTAATTTTTTCTGATTCTTTTCTTTGCTTCTTGGTGTAGCGAATTTTTTTTATTTATTTTTTTTTTTATGCAGAAATGTATTACACACAAATACACACTCATACGTAGTTAGCGCACCTTAATCTAAAGATATTTTGTTTTAATTGAATACAAAAATTTTTGCATTCATTTTACATTTGCGTTAATAATCGAATTCGGGTAAAAAACCAGAAAAACCGAGAAACGTTTTTATACAAATTATTCACATATTGTACGCACAAACTTTCATACAAAGGTGTATGTATTGTAGTTTGCCGAGAACATTAAACGCGTACATGTTGTGTGTTTACGTTAGTACAACAGCAAAGTATCTGAACAGCGAACGTATATTCAAACTACTACTGGACAGACAATACAACAAGAACAACAATATGCATATCAGCAAGCGTACAACTTACAGCAACAACCAATAAAATATACAGACAATAATACTACAAACACACACAGATATCCACATACGAGTGCATGTGCAAATGTATTTTCATGTGAAAAACGTTCAAATGGATGGATGACTGTGCTGTGTATGTATAAAGATAAATTCATACACACATACATATATATATATATATCTATATACATATAGACAGATAAGAGAGACCAACAGTTAGCGCAGACAGATGGACAGACAAAACAACACATCACCACCACCACCACGATACCAACAACAATAATAATAACAATAAAAACGACAGCAGCGGCAACAATAAAACAAAAACAAAAAGAAAACGAAATGAATGAATCAAACAAACGAACCTTTTGGTCTGGTTTGACTCGGCAGATTCGTTTGTCGACTTAACTTAAACACTCGCCTAAGTTCAAGTTGCAGTTGTTTTGGTGACTATGATGATAGCAACCCGACCGACCGACCGACAACTACGCTTTTATTAAGGAGGACGACATACACATACACACACTCAATCGCACACACACACACAGTAGTAATTTGCCTTAATTTTTGAAATATTCAAATATTTCCTTTTTTTTTTTTTTTTGTGTGTCATCATCTTTTCGTTGACGTCTATTGGTATATCTATGTACATCTGTATGAGTTGTTATTTTCGTTTAATTATGAATTTAAAGCAAAATAACGCGACAATCGCTATCATTGTTAATCGACTCAACACCGACGAACATGTTGCAGTCTAGGGTTGGATGTGTTAATTGTGGTGTATCATTATATTGCAAAATAGTGCAGCAGTTTGAAAAGTGTATAAACACTTTGTGACATACATGCGAACAATTCATTCCGAATGTAACTCGTAAATCATTCATATATTTATTGATTTGTTTTAGAGAGATTATAATATGTGAGAGTTAAATAAATTATTAGAGTTAAGAATTAATGTACACAAACAATATTTTCTCTCCAATTTTATATATGGAATTGTAATGTAGAACATAAGTTTGTGTGTGTTTGTAGCTGAAATCTAATTTAAATCTAAACCTGATTTAATAATTTTTATTTATTATCGGCTTAAACTTTTCGTAATAATGAAAAAATGAAAAAATACGATAGGAAACGAATTTTGGATACTCCATCCGCTTCACTCAGAGATCTCAAATGATTTTTGTTTTCTATTTTTCAATGACTGGGAGAGGTTGCAATCATTATATATATCTAAAACTGTTCTTTGAAGGAACATTTATTTTCTATAGCAAGCGAGAGTAATTAATTGTCCCAGATTATTACATTATATACGATATGAAATTGCTGGCAATTAAACAGCAGTTCTTCTTATCATATATACGATATTGTTACGAAACAAAAAAAAGCATTCCGAATTTTATACTGAATTAGTATAAACAAACTCTATACCACTAATACATAATATGTAACATTGCGACGTATGTATCACCGGTCATTAGTTTATTCATACACTATTTAGGATTACATCGACTTTATGAAACTTTCTTAAATGCCATACACAAAAATGAAGTTATCTTCTCCGTCCTCTCCATCAGTACACGCAATAAATAAAAATCAAAGGGTGATACCATCTTTTCTTTACTTTCACAAACTTAAGGATGTTGGACAAGTAATAAATAACTTTATTCGAGAT